AGGTTAAAAATGAACCATGATAATATATTGAATTGGATCAATTTAAAAAGAAACAGTATATAGAAATGTCAAAGCAAGGTTATACAATATTCGATCTTAAAAAATTGATCCATCCTAATTTTCGTCAGATAATATAGACAGACCTAATAAGTTGTGGTCCCGAAGCAGGCCTTTATGACATAAGATTTGCTCCATTTAAATCTGTTAGCGACATAATTTTGATCTCTGCCATCTTTAATTAAAGCAAATACAGCGGATACAACTTCTGGACTTAAAACCATCTCTGCTAGAGTAACTGCCCAACAGGCAGTAATAATATTATTTTTCAATAACAATAACATTACATAAATCAGAAACACTATTTCATAGTTCTGTTGACTGGGACTAAAAGCAAAGGCATGGTTATAATGCAAAGATTACGAAAAAATGTTGTGTCATGTTGCAGCGAATATCTGCAAAGAAAATAAATCTATTGAGATGAACCAAAAAATAAAATATCGAGAAAAGATGCACCCAGATGATAAAATGATTTGCAAATTTCTTGCTTAGTTAACGTCATCCACAGGGTGTTCCAAACTTTCACTAAAATAACAACATTTTGAATTCCCTCGTATAATTGACAGACGGAAACATTCATTTTTAATTTTTTGTTTATCAAAATCGGTCCACTATAAATTTTAAAATACACCAAAGAGTTTATAAATGAGCCTTTAAATGGCCTTTCATATGCATTGATTATCTAATCACAGAATAATAACAATGCAAGTAATGCGTAAATGAGTTTTTAACAAGTCTTGTTTACGTAAATGAAAACTAACATATTTGTTAATAAATTTTCCTGGTAAATATAATATATCGTAAGTTAAAATAATTCGAATACTATAAAGGAAATACTAACAAATTGAACAATTTAAAAAATTTAAATAATTAGTTTAACCTTCAAATTAATATGGGTACTACAGAGCTGTTATCAGGGAATAACTTGCTTGAATAAGTTTTAGTTTTAAAATCGCTACGTATTCAAGGCGAATTAAATGACAGTGAATGTTATTTATTTAGTTAAAACTTATGCAATGCAGTTTTCTACAAAAATAATTTAATTTTGATTCCTAATTTTCAGCTTATGTGACTCTCTTTGTAGTTAGGCCCATTGTTGTCTATTGTTGGCTATGCGGGCTCAAGTTAACCTTACCAGTTTCCTAATATCATAGTCCCATCTCAGGTTGAGTCTTTTTCTAGGTCTGTTAATTCCTCCTGAGTACCATGATTATATGTTATCTGTGGTACCGTGCTGTAACTTTAGTGGTCCATCTGTTGTCTGTTCTTCTTACCAGGTGTCCTGCCCATTGCCATTTGAGGGATTTGACTCTGTGGATGACATCTATTACCTGGGTCTTTTGTCGTATCCACTCTATTCTTTTAGGTCTCTCTTGGTTATTCCCAGCATATTTCGTTCCATTGAACGTTCTGCGACCTGCAGTTTCCTTATTATGACCGTTTTAAGGGTCCAGGTTTTGCATGCATAGGTTATGTCTGGTAGTACACATTGGTGGAATGTTTTCTTCTTTAGATATAGTGGCATTCTGAATTTGAATATTATTATGATTGAATTTAATATATTGTCGATTAAATTGAAAAATTATATTACTTTAGTACATTATATTAGTTTAGATTTTTAAGATGACAATCGGCCTGTTCCACCGCGACTTGGACACATTCTAAAAGGGACGGCTGTCACGGTCTTTCTGCCGGGGAGCAAAGGGAAAGAGACCACCTTCCTTCTGAGTTTTATCTAGGCTCCAATGTAAGGACGTCGAGTTGGCGAGTCATTAACTCGAGGGACAAGGGTCATGGTCAGGTCCTCACAATAAGAGTTGACCTTAAATCCAAGGAGGCAATAGAGAAAGACGGATATATCCTCTATTATAGATACGGGACAACACCCGTATCAGGTCTAAGAAGAGACCAAGTTAAAGAGGTGGAGAAAATGGAGATAGATCCTCCAGCCTCCACTTTACGATTACCTCAGCCGGAGTCAAGCTACTCGACTGTGAAGGGCACGGAGGACCAAACTCCAACCATGGAAGGGTGTATACCTTGGGAGGAAGAACATCTGTTGTCAGAGAAGGATGGGAAATACCTTTGACTATATAACCCCTGGAAATACCCTGTCCCCCCTACAACAGGAAAATGCATGATGGGCTATATAGACTGTGTAATGACTTATAACTCAAGGAACGGGACATAATAGATCTTTTTTAAGCCAATAGAATGTGGAGTACCTCAAGGCTCAGTACTAGGCCCTATTTTGTTTCTTCTTTTTAATAACGACATTGCTAACATAAACATCAGTGGTAAAATATGTCTTTTTGCGGACGACACTAGCTTCACTTGGAGCAACAAGGACGTCACGGCACTTCATAGGATTATATCAAATGACTTAATCACCATTAAATCTTGGTGCGATTCGAACTTCCTGAGTCTAAACATTTCTAAGACTAAAGCTTTGTCGTATAAAAACTCGCTGCAGCCTTTTGTACTTATCAACACCACCATTTTGACGTCGTAAAATCTGTAAAATTCTTAGGGATTGTTGCAGACAATCCTCTGAAATGGGACATGCATATCGACGCTTTGTCGAAATAATTAAGCTCTGCCTGTTTTGCATTAAGATCTGTTTCTAAGGAGCTTAGCTTGTCAGTGGCTAGAACTGTTTATTGTGCACTTTTTGAATCGCACCTCAGATATGCCCTTCCATTCTGGGGTACGTGTTGTGCGACTCAATTTGACCGCATTTTCAAGCTCCAGAAGAGAGCTGTTCGATATTCACTGGGACTAGACAGCAGAACACATTGCCAGGACTTAAAAAAATTAAAAATATTAACTCTTTCTCCCTTATTTATATTTGCATGTATCAGCTTCTCAAAAAAGGCCACCTACCCCACGCACAGAGTTAGTTAAAAGTTCAATATTATACAACTCAAAAAAAATGCACAATCAGCTGCCATTTGAAATGAAATTCACAACATCATTTTCTTCATTTTGCAAAGCATTGAAATCTTATTTACTAGACAAGGCTTTCTACGCCGTAAATTACTTATATTTTGATAATCGAAGTTGATCTTGTAAACACTGTCTAATATTTGCTATTACTATATTTATATAAACTTACTAAATATTTTTGAATATTATTTTTATTTTTTTATTCTTTGACATTGTAAACATTTATAAATGTTTATTTTAAACAATAAGACTGACAATGTAATTGGTATACTTGTTTTGTATTCTCTTTTGTTTGTTTACTTTACCTTTGTCTACAAATTGTAATTTTTTTGACGATAAAGGCATTTATTATCTACATATCCAACATTGGATGGAACCAGGCTGAGAAAGATGAAGGAAAGGCTACTAAGTCTATACTCATACTTGGTGCGGTTTTCTGGAGACAGGGAACTAACCAAACAATGAATGGAATTTATAACATAAGTAAAATTATAATTTGTACTAAAAGCATTTACATACATGTAGCTTATTCCATCAACCTCGAGTCTAGCAAAGCGAATCAAATCTATAAACATTTCTGTGAAATATTCGATTTCCTTCTTCCTACAGCACTGGCGTAACGGGAAAACGCCAGTCGTGCGTGAAAAGAAAATATAGATGGAGGAGGGTGTATTGTATTGCCAAGAAACGTAGCATTTGTGTATGCCAACCTGCATTATTAATTATCAAACTGTCGGTTGTGAGACATAATATAGAAAGAAACGGATTTAAGGTCGACATGTTTCAATGCTGGAATTTATGGTTGTTGAACTGTATCGCGCATAGCGGTACAGCTTTATAGTCGCTTCTTGGTCTTTATCGCTGCTTTTGTCTATTATGTTCTTGCAAAGAAAGAGGATGCCGATATTTGTTTTATTTTTTATCCTTCATTCAAGCATATCGCATAGCAATATACAGGGTCCGGCAATAGTGCGTCGGGGTAAGACTTTCTGATTCATTCAGTTCAGCTGACCCAATCCTCTGTGAAATATATTACTTTTAGCTTTTCGGGTATATACTTTCTTACACATTGTAGAAAGAAATTCTCTTTTCTGCTACAGCAGCAGCCTCTTCGTGTACACGTGTTTTTAACTGAATGAACCGCGGTCGCCATTAAACCTGCAGCATTTTTTAGGTTATTATATAGTTCTTATCACGAAATTTTTCCTCTATACTTTTCTACATTTGGCATCTTGTATGATAATGCCATGACTTAGACGAAAAAAACCTAGGCAATACCTAGGCAGTGGATATAAATCTGTTCTGATGTAATGCTATGTTACAGTCCATAATAAGAATATTTGGATTTTCGATACATATTAATATTTTATTATCTAATCTAGTTTAAACCTTATTTAACTCTTCTCTGCTGTCTCAGTAATTTTTAGCAAATTAATTTTAGCAACATTTTAAACAACAATTTAGACTTGGCTTTTAGTTCTCAGACTTGGCTTTTAGTCCGTCCCCAATTCAAGCCAAGGTTCGTCAAATTCGTCTACCTTTTTACAAAGGGGAGCTCGAAAAATATTGCACCGAGGTTCCCAGTTGTCAATCTTTGCTACCGTATTCTTTCCGAACAAACAACAGATGATTATTAAAATTATAAGTGTTCCAGAGAAAGACATTTTACAATAGTTATTTTACAAATCGGTGTTTATATTTAAAAGCAACTGACGGTTATACTGATGCAAATTGATTAGTTAGTTATGAATCACCAACGATCTTAGGTCACTTTAGTTAGAAGATTAACCATTTAATTTTTGCTAATCCAATCTTTTTTGAGTTCTGATCGGGACCGGCCCACCCGCCAATCTTTCCACAGGCCCACCGGGAATTTTCCCGTTTTCCCATATGGCCCATCCACCCCTTGCTACCATACATAATTTTATGGGAAAATATAGTTATTGTTAAATTATCTACAATTTAAAATAGCTATGACTCGTTAGATATCGACTTACCTAACTGCGGCGCAGTAATGCAGACTTTCTATGGGAAAAAACCTGGTAATTTTCTTGTGGTTTTCATCGACATTTTCTAATAGAATTCCGTTGGACCATACGCTCAGCCAGCTATCGATACCTTTGGCTCCAGTTGCACCCTACAAACATTCAATTTTATTAGACTTAACAAGTCAATATAGTTGTTTTAGTAGTTAATGCCTGAAATCACTCACTTCAATATATTAAATACCAAACCGTTGAGTTAAGTCTACTATACCAGGTGCGTCTCAAAAGTGGCTCACACTTTTTTATTTTTTTTTCAGATTCAATTATTTTTGGTCGCTTCCTGTTTCACTGGAAATGACTACAACTTTTGATTTTGAACTGGCACTCTCAGTATTGTGTTACTTTATTCGATAAAAAATGACACTCTGAATAGAATGACATATCATATTATGTCAACTTTGACATTTTCGAATATGGTTTATTTAACAATGCAACATGCGGTTTATAACGACAATTTGACTTGAAATACCAAGTTTGTGGTACCAAATTATTCGTAAAAAAATGCTTTTTCAAAGTATTCTAATGAGCCACTCTCCTTCCATTTGAAAAAATAGAAATATTATTAAAAATACGATTTAGGCATCTTTTAACTGGCTAGGACGAGACACTAAAAACATCAGACGATCAAATCTATTTTCCAAGGCTCCTTCAATAAAAATCAGTGTTTTTAATACAGCATATGGCACTGTAAATTTAAATTTAAAATACAAGTTTGCTTTGAGTGAAAATGTCAAAAGTTGACATATTATAATATCTACCTAATTCCATTTAGTTCGTCGTAGTTTGAGACCGTCATTTCCAATTATATAATGTAAAAAAATACCGAGGGTATCATTTAAAATTCAAAAATTGTAGTCATTTCCGGTGAAACAAGAAGGGACCGGAAACAATTGAATACGTCGATCAATCCTAATTTATGTCATATACTAACATAGCAAATTTCGTTTTTTTATCAGAAAAGATAAAAAAGTTGTAAAAAGTAAAAAGTTGAGATGTATCCGGTATGCAGTATCTTTTAAGTAAGAGTTATATAATATTTATATCTAAATGTTTAAATTATGTTCTGTGTGATTGTTCTTTTTCTAAAACTTCCGGATCTATACAGGGTTGTTCACCACATACGACACGGAGTATTGTAGCTAAACGATTAGATTTTTACAAATTGTAAGTTTTGGGTTCGTTGAAGGACTATTAGAGCTACAATTTAAAAATATTTTACAGGATACAGAGTGTCCCAAATAAGTAAAAAATATCATAGTTGTATTTTTTTAAATAGAACACCCTGTATATTATTCTATTTTTGGATTCTACGATTGAAATAAAGGTAAATTTGATTAAGGTTTATCACACTTAAACCTTACCGTTTTTGAAATATTTTCAATTTTAAGAAATTACAGTAAAAATTTTAATGTTTCATTTCTCCAAGGGTATCAAAGTTTTTAATACTAAATATTTACTGAAGATTATTTATTGATCAGATATTGTGTTGCAATAATAAAAATTTTACTACCTTATACAGAGTGTCCAAAAATTTATATTAAATAATTACTAGCTTTAAACGGCAATAACGTGTTTAAGTTAAATGGTTACTCTGTATATTTTACGGAATCATATGCACAATTAATTGTCTATCAAATTTTATTATACCATTTTTTACCTATTTCTGCAACTTTTCGTAGAAAATGCATTTTCTTATAATTTAGACCTCATTTATCACTATACCCATGGAATATTGACATTTCAGATTTTTTTAACATATATGCAGAAAATGTACAAGTGGTAAATATTGCAAGCCTATTGGTATACCAAAAAAACCATTTAAATCTTTATAAAAGAGTATACGAATTAAATATACCACCATTATTTCCGACCAAAAATTAGTTAATTACATACTTTTAAATTGTTTTAATTAATAATATTCTAATATATGTGGATTAGAATAGTATTCTAAATAAATGTGGATTTGGCTCAGAAATCAATATAATAATAAATTATGAAAATAAACGTCTCTGTTTTTATAAATCAGCATTCGTCAAAAAATAAATAAAATTTATAAGGCGTTACTTTTTACCACACTGTCTAATACTCACACAAAATTCAGTTTTTTAGTATTTGGAGCAATTATTATTAATCAACGTAAACAATCAATTAATGTAGTTTGAATACTGGGATCATATTAATTGGTCCCCTTTAACAAAAAATATTTAAACAGTTTTTTTAATTTTTTTACGATATAAGCAAACTATATCGACAATATTAGTATATGTACTCTTTGAAAATTTGTTACATCTTTAAAAATAATCTGAAATTTCAATATTCCATGGGTATATTGATAAATAAGGTCTAAATTATAAGAAAATGCATTTTCTACGAAAACTTGAAGAGATAGGTAAAAAATGGTATAATAAAATTTGATAGACAATTACATTGTGCATCTGATTCACGTAAAATATATAGGGTGTTCTATTTAAATTAAACACGTTATTGCCGTTTAAAGCTAGTAATTATTTAATATACATTTTTGGACACTCTGTATAAGGTAGTAAATTTTTTATTATTGCAACATAATCTCTGGTCAATAAATAATCTTCAGTAAATATTTAGTATTAAAAACTTTGATACCCTTAGAGAAATGAAGCCTTAAAATTTTTACTGGAATTTCATAAAATTGAAAATATTTCAAAAACGGTAAGGTTTAAGTACGATGAACCTTAATCAAATTTACCTTTATTTTAAGGGTAGAATCTAAAAATAAAATAATATACAGGGAGTTCCATTTAAAAAAATACAACTATAATATTTTTTACTTAGTTGGGACACTCTGTATTTTGTAAAAATATTTTTAAATTGTAGCTCTAGTAATCCTTCAACGAACCCAAAACTTACAATTTGTAAAAATCTAATCGTTTAGCTACAATACTCCGTGTCGTATGTGGTGAACAACCCTGTATACTAGGCATTTTAAATGTTTCTATAAACGGCATATTATTAGGCACATTTGCATACATGTATGCCATAACTTTTCACTAGATTAACCATCGTCGTATCTCCTAAAGTTTTTAAGATCCCAGTGGAGTCGAATTTGAGTTATCTTGTATAGATTAAAAGAGGACCATAATATATATGTAACGGATGCAGTGGAATAGGTCAATAAAAGAACCACCTCAAAATATTTAATCTAATCTACCTAATCCAAACATTTAAACAGATAAACATTTCTTTGGTTGAGCTAGGCCTTATAATATTCTTGAGAGTGAGGAATTTAACTTATTTTAATTCTGTTTTCTTGAACTTTTGCGGTTAACCCAAAATACAATAACAATCACACTTTAAAATAATATATAACTATTAATGATTGCTGAATTTACCTGGTCTGGGTAAAGTTCTTGTAAGGGTTCTTGGATTCCTTGAAGACCGTCCTTTGTCTGCTGAGGCACGCTGGATCCCAAATAGAGAACGCGACACCTGCAAATCGGGGTGGATTCGGTCATTTTCAGGGGTTGGTGCTACAATTAGGTATGAAATTGGTAATTGCAGGTTACAGTTCCGAGATTTTTATGGTTTTGAGCAGGTTAAGTTGAGGTTAGAAGGTTTGGACGGTGGAGAACTGGCATGATGAATGAAATATCTGAAACAAGAATAATGCTTATATAATATACCTACTGTTTATTTCTCATAAAAAATATAAATAGGCTTAGTACCAGATTAGTACTAAGAAATTTAAACAAAAAATTAACTTCTCACTTAAATAGTAGAGTATGTATATACAGAGAAGACCAGGCTAGTAGTAACATAGCAAGTTGCCGGACGAATTTACGTTTACCCAATTTGCGTTCGTACTCGAGATTCACTGCCAGCTAGTCGGTTAGTCAGGCAGTACGCAGTTACAGTTGTGCTTGGACGGGTCGGTCGTGACAGACTAGGAATACAACGCGAGGAGTGCCGAGTATTTATTATTTTCATTTTAAGTGTTTACCTTCACTTAACGTAATATTTAAAATAAAAATACCTAAATCTTTATTATTTGAGTGTGTTTACAAGCCTAAACTAAAAATAAATAAATTCTCTAAACCCCAAAAAAAATTAAAATATTACTCTAAATAAAAAAAGTTATAACAAGTGTTGAAAAAGACCACCTTCTTGTGCTAGACAGAAATCTAGGCGGTCGTAAAATCCCCATCTGACATTGGCTAATATATTAGGGCTAATAGTTTGGAAAGCCTCTCGTATTTTTACTTGAAGCTCATCCAGATTATTAGCCCTATTATGACCATACACTTTGGGTTTTACATAACCCCACAAATTTTACACGAGAACTGTCGCGTGAGAATCTATGTATTCACATTTTGGGCTTATTAAAACACGAAGAACACAAATCTATGAAACATCTTATCACATACATAAAGTACGTCTGTCTTACAGCTACAGGGCATCCGTGTGAGAGGGGAAACGATATTCTCTATGTTTCGCGTAAAAATTAGACGACGTCCCAACAAAATTGACAAATTTGCAAGTAGCCAATAAAATGAGTGGGCGGAGCGAGGCAATGCACCCCTGATCGACGTAAAATATATTGTTTATTTTAAATGTTTTTTGTCCGCATTCCTTTCATAGACACAGATCCACCAGTCTGCTTTTTATCCGGCGGACGGGTATACGCTAATTCGTCCGGTTCTGTTTATGTTACTACTACGGTGGTCCAGTCTGTATAGGCTTGGTGCATTTCAGTTGATTTCAACGAATTCCGACCGCAACGCTTCAACGACAGAAATCAAAAATTATATTCAGTATGATCAAGCCGCCCGCGCCCGCGCCATCCCGGTTACAGTTCACGTTGATCGTATTAAAATAATATTGAAATAGTGGCTTTGTCATACTATTTAAGTATTTTAGTTTCTTGCTAGTGCAGTTATTGAAACTATAAAACACTCAGGTACGAAGTCTGTGCGATGTAACGCTGTTTCAACCAGTAAAAAATAAGTGAAAAAGAATTTGAACTAGGCATCGCGTCGTGTTTCAAATATTAATGAAATTGACCAAAAATTGTTAACGCGCAAAAGGAAAGCGTAATTAGGGCGTTGCTGGGTGCAATAACATTCAATAACTCAACTTTCCTAGATATTCAACTCTCCCGAAACAACATTTTATAGCTTCATAGTTTCTCACATCAATTTGATCAAAAGCAAAAATGGATTCAAGCAGTTCGACGAAACAAGTGAGTAAACAAAGTGTTACACAATCAAAAAATTAAATAGTCATATGGATAAAATATAATTTGCAATATTAATGGTATACTTTTTTTAATCGACTAGTGATTAAATGTTATGTACCTTTAGATAAGTTTGTCATAGCCGAAATAGCCCCAATTATGCCCCACTAGCAAAACCGGTGATTAAAACTATGCTCGCTACCGTAGTTAAACTCATCTAAAAAGTTTTTTTTAACTGGAATAATAAATTATAATACAAGTGAGACCTTCTGAAAATATCAAAATATTTACTTTTTTATTTTTATTTTTAGAATTTTCACAAATTATACTTCCTAACGCTTTTAGAACAATTAAATAACACATTTCTCGTATACTCGCTATTTAAACCCGTGTATTTGTATATATCAGTTGTTTACGATATTCTCCGATGGTGGCAGCACCGGCGGAGAGTGGACCAAGCTTCTTCTTCTTTTAGAAGGCGTATCGCCTGTTTAGTTCCGGTTTCCTCCTCGTCTAAGCAACTCTTGCGAGGTTGACTGCCAACTGTCTTGCCAACGTTTAGGTGGTCGTCCAGTAGGTCTTCTGCCATGGGGTACGTTGTTGCGAATTATTATGGCCATTCTGTCGGGGCCCATTCTATTGACATGCTGGTTCCATTCTCTTCTTCTCTGCCTTATCCATCTGACAACGTCGTTTGTTTGGCACTTTTCTCTTATGTCTACATTTCTCTGTCTGTCCCTCAATGTGTATCCAGTTATCATTCTTAAGGTCTTCATTGCAGTAGTTCGTAGGATTCTTTTTATTACTGATGTTTCAGCTCTGGTTTCCGCACCATATGTCATCACTGATCGTATGCAGGTTTTGTATATTCTTGACTTACATTCTGTACTCAAATGTTTGTTTTTCCAATCTAGATGGAATTTAAGATGTCCTGATATTGCGGCAGCTTTATTGGCTTGTTTCCTTACTTCTTCTTCCAGGAATCCTGAGCTTGTAATTTTGCATCCGAGGTATTCGAATTACATTATCTGATCAATAGTTTTGTTTTTTATTACCAATTTGCACCGTAGAATAGGCTCCTTTGTAATGGTCATGCATTTGGTCTTATTTGTGGAAATTTGCATGTTAAGTTTTTCTGCCTGTCTGTTAAAAGCTTGTAGCATTCTTTGGAGGTCGTCCTCTGACTCTGCAATAAGTACTGCGTCATCGGCATAGCATAATATGTTAACTTTATGCATTCCAATTCGATATCCTAGTCCAGTATTCTTGACGGTTTTTATTACTTGATCCATGATTGTGTTGAATAACAGAGGGCTGAGGCAAATTTTTGAACTCTCGCCTTGGCGAATACCAGTTGTATTTCGAAGATGCTGCGTTAAGGTAAAGTTTGTTCTTATTTGGGTTGTTGTGTTTGTGTTTAAGTCCTTGATAAGTTCTGTGAGTTTTTTTCGAGACATTACTGCTTTCCAAGATGGTGATGATGTCTTTTAGTTGGACTCTATCAAAGGCCTTTGTTAAATCTATAAAACATAGATAGGCTGGAGAGCCTATCCATTCTAAGGATTCTAAGGATTTTTCAACTAGTTGCCTGAGTATGAATAGTGCATCGGTAGTTGATCGGTTTCTTCGGAATCCTTGTTGTTCCTCGCTTATTGGCACTATTGAGGAGATTTTGTCCGCAATGATCTTAATCAGAAGTTTTAGCGAGGTGCTCAGTAATGTTATTCCTCTATAGTTTGCAGTCCTCTATAGTTTGCTGTCTTTTTAAAAATGGGTATTGTTATACTTTGTTTCCATTCTTCTGGTATTTTCTTATGATAGCCGTGCCTGCGTTTTTTATTAGTTCGTTTGGTATTTTATCTTGATTAGGAGATTTTCTATTCTTAAGTTTCCTTATTGTCTCTTCTACTTACTTGTAAGTGATTTGCGCATGATCTTCTATATTATCTCTTTGGCTTGTCTCTTGTGCTTCCATTGGTTCATCTGTTTCTGCGTAGTCTCTGAAATATTTTTCCCACGTATCTTCTGCAATTGTTCTTAGTTGTATTATGGACCAAGCTTATAGAACAGAATGAGTAAATATCTACCATAAAGTAAGTATTTTATAAGAGTATCAAATATAATAACTATATCATTATGGCGGTTCATTTCAAAAAAATCCAGTGGGTTTATCAAGAATATATTTATGTATACATATGATTAATTTATAATTGATGAATACATTAATAACTAACTCGTACAGAATTCGTCTGACCCCTGCCATGATACAATCTGAATACATTACAGAACATCGGAAACGCTGGTCAAAGCCAAGAATTTGCCGAAGGGCATATTCAAAACGATCATCATAAGCGGAATTTGTGTCGCTCGGAGAGAAATTTTTACGACAGGTGCTTCGCTTTTATTACAATAGTAAACGTCGATAGAAAGCAAGCGTATTTACAAATTTGATGTTCAAATTAGCGAGTTCTGAATGGATTAGGAACAATACCATTAGGATTTTCATAAGGTTTAATTTTAAATTATTTTTGTAGAAAGTGACAATTACGGATGCCAGCTGTGGTGTTGAAAAGATCTGAAAATTTCATGTAAGAGTTCACATAGCGAACGGTTGTATACTTCCGGAAGCCTTTTTTTCAACGCCATTCATAGATGCAGAAATCATCCGCTGATAGTCAAGGAGGCCTTCAAGGAAGCGACAACTCAGTAACCGTCAATTCAAATTTGGTCAAAGATTGCTTAGAGAAGCTGAACAAAGTAGACAAGTCCTTCTATCCTGGGTACCAGGTCACCAAGGGATAGAAGGTAATGAAAAAACAAACGATCTAGCGATAGAAAAGGAACAGACAGTATACACTGAAAAAGTATAAAAACTTGTAAAAATAAAATATTTTTGCATAGTTTCACAAAAAAAATATAATTTTACAAAACAGTTTATTAATATTAAATGATTATTAACAAACGATATTATTTTCACAACGAGTTTTATGTGTTTAAAAATTAAATTTAAATCAGTAATACAATCTTGTAGTAAAATCGCATGTCTCTATACATATTCACAAAACATGTATCAATTTACCATAATATGTTGTATTAATCGATTGAAAACGTAGTTAGAGGAAAGATGAGGAACATTTTAATATAAGCAGTTTTTTGAACAGGTGGGAGTCTCAGAGCGTGGGTGATAAGTGTTTTCATAATTTAAGGGTATAGGTATATTATATGAATTATGTTTATACAGGGTTGTTCACCGCATACGACACGGAGTATTGTAGCTAAACGATTAGATTTTTACAAATCGTAAGTTTTGGGTTCGTTCAAGGACTATTAGAGCTACAATTTAAAAATATTTTTACAAGATACAGAGTGTCCCAAATAAATAAAAAAATCCAAAGTTGTATTTTTTTAAATGGAACATC